ATCAAATCGCGGATGTCGAACGCAAAAGAGCCTCTCGCAATGACAAAGTCATAGCAGCAGCATTTACTCGTCGCAAGGGGAAGGGAGGGTACTACGTACAACAGGACGTCGGCGGGGAGAGGCTGGAGAGAACCCCCTTCCCCCGCCCCTCTGGAGGTCGTGACAGCTTTATCCGGAGGCTCCGGCGGCGCGGCGCTGCAGGGCGACAATCCCCCCGCAGCAAAAGGCAACGCAAGCAATTAAGGCAAATCTCCAATCTCCCCCCCAAAGAGGGGGAGTGAGGAGAAAGAGGGGGAGCGTGCGAGCAGGTGGATTAATGAGAGGGAGAGAGACAGCGGCGCGCACACGGCCCCAACAACACAAGGGATATATACATACGGACGGGGGAAAAGGGGGGGGGGGTCAAGAACGGTACAGAACCAACGCGGCGGGGCGGGTACCCACGCGCGGCGCACCGCGGCCGCCGCCGCCGAGCTGCAGCAATCTCCCCCTCACTCCACGCCAGCTGGCGGCGGGGGCAGCCAACTTGAATGATGCGCAAAAGGCATCGACAACATAGAGCAGAGAGTAGAGATCGCTTACGCCGCCGAGCTGTTGTTGTGGCGAGCAGACGGTCGGCATCAGCAGAGCGCGTGGAGGAGCGGGGCACAAGTGCAAGAGCCGGCACAAGAGCCCCCCTCCCACTTCCTCCCCTCACCTCCCCGCGGGCTGGGGAGGGAGGAAGAGGGGAAGGGGGGCATGGTCGAAGGTCAGGACTTGGGCTGCGGCCGCCGCGAGCGGCTCAACTTCACGAGACGAGACGCCCGGCCGAGCGAACCCACTCAAATCGTGTGCCAGATTGAAACACCCGCCGCGCGGCGCAACGCCACGCCACGCCACGGGGCCCCCGCAGCAGACGATGACGATGAACATCAACAAAAGACGGCGGCGGCCCCGCTGGCCTTGGCTCGCCTCGCGCTCCCTCCGCGGTGTGGATTATGGACCCCGACCAAGGTGAGGGGCCGGGGACCGGGGGGCCGGGGGGCCGGGGGGCCGGCACTCACGCACGGCCAGGCCGCGGCCAGGGCTCCGGACGAGGTGAGGTGCGCACAGCGTTTGCCGGATGAAAAATTAACCAGGCCGACGACGACGTCACCCTAGCGGGAGCGTGTGGTGCGTGTTCGCTCGCGACGACGCGGGTGCTGGTCGTCACGGCGCCTCGCGCTGCGTAGGCAGCAAAAGCCAAGTAAGTCCTAAAGAAGGACTGCAAGCGTGATTCCGCACCGCAGTTTCGCACCTCGATCCATGTGGCACTCACGGGGTCCTCCTGCCACTCGAACAAGAGTGAAGGGTCACGACTAAACGCTGTGCGGAATCACCCAAGAGTACGCGAGGGGCGCAGAGAGGGAGGCCCTTCCCATCACGCCCGCTCCATCGGGCCGATCACTCCACTCAGTGTCCGCCTACATAAGCCGCCCCGGCCGGCGGCGGCCGAATAACGTTGGCGACACTGGCCGCGCTGTGACGCACGGAGGGGAGGGGTGATGTAAGGCCCGGGGAGACGAGCAGCTAGTATTGGGAATACGAGAGGAAGGCGTTCCGCGAGTCGCAGACACAAGAGAGGCGCGCCCGGCCAGGACGAGGACCCTGTTCATCCACCACCGCAGTCCGGCGCGCGGACAAAAGAGCAGCCGGTCGCGCGTTCAAGTCAGGTGCAGAGGAAAGAAAAGGCGGAAAGGGAAACGGAGAGGGGAATGGAGGGGGTGGG